TGAACCACCTGTTTACCTTTGTAGAAGTGGTGGGAATATCTGTTGAAAGGCGTCCATGTACTGTCTTGTTTTATTTTTATTAGTGTAAAGTTTTAAAAATAGATGATAATCTTTTTCTAGTCTGTACGTTTTGTGTGGGAAACTTTAGCATAAATTTTAGGAAAATAATTACATTCTTTATTGTTTTTTGCCAGGGCTTTGAACTGCTGCTTTCAGCTTTAGGAGACCCTTCAGAACGTGTAGTTAGTGCAACACATCAGGTATTTTTACCTGCTTATGCTGCCTGGACAACAGAACTGGGAAATTTACAGTTCCATCTTATACCTACACTGCTTAATAAAATTGAAAAATTGCTCAGGGTATGTGTTCAGCTGTTTCTACATTGGAGAATTATCTTTGTATCTTTATTACATATGCAGGCTTTTTTAAAAAATACAAAACCGTAAATAATTGCTACTTAATGTTCTGTAGGGGAAAAATTTTCTGGAGATTCTTGTAACTCCTTAACTTTTACGTGTCCGTTGGAAGAAGGAAAAAAACCAAAACACCAGAAGCCAAACATATTCCTCTTTAACAGTGTTTCGCTTTATAGCCCAATAATCAAAGTGCAGTTCAGAAAACGCGTGATTGGGGCTGTGACTGGATAATATGTGTTATTCTGAGTGCATTTGCCCTATATTTAAGTTGTTTTTGAGTGTCACATAGTGTAGTTTTTAATAAAGTGCAATATTTATTAAACAAAAAAATAAGTAGAATTGAATGGTTTAGTTAGGTCATTTACAACTATGAGCCAGTTTGCATGCTTGATTTGGTAGATATCTGGAAAGTTCTGCAAAATAGGGTATCCCATAACGATCTAACACACTTAGCCAAGATGCTCGTTTTCAGAGTACAGGCGACTAGTTTATTCAGTTCTTAGATGCATTGGTCTCTGAGACCAATGTGCTGAAAAATGTTCAATATCAGTATGTTCATCAACATGAACTATTAAATGCCAAGGGCTATATTACTTGAATCTTTTGAGTACAAGTGACTTAAGTGTGACACGGGGATTTGGATGGTGACACAAAGTAAGCATATGGTTAGGATAAGTTACTACATAATTAACGTCTCTGCGTAGCAGCTCATCACAGATGTGTTGATCTCTTGCCAGGGAATACATGCCTAAGCAACAGATCATCCAATCTGAAAACTTTCAATAAATGCCCTGTTTGTTTCAGGAAGGAGAACATGGCTTGGATGAACATAAGCTCCACATGTATCTGTCTGCTCTGCAGTCATTGATTCCTTCACTGTTTGCACTGGTGCTACAGAATGCACCTTTCACAAGCAAAGCTAAACTTCAGGGAGAAGTACCACAAATAGAAGGTAAATGATTAATTTCTGATATGTGGAATTTTTATAAACTTAAGTATAATTCAGTGACAAATCTCAAAATCACTATTAACTGCAAAGGAAGAATTTCAGGAAATAGTCCATAGTCCACATTGACTTGGGACGTGTGTGTATTTAAGGTTACTACATAAATGTAAGTTGCAGAATCTATGTGTAAACTTTAGATTTTTATAGCACACTGTCTGTACAATAATGATTTAGGTTTATGTCCCCAAGCCTTTTCTTTTTCTAATCCACCTGTTCTTTATGTTCTATTTTCATATATAGCAAGTACAGAGAAAGAAATTCAAGGAACCTCTGTCATGTTGTGAATTTTCTTTCTTTAATGTTGCTGAGTTGACAGAATGTATTTTTTTTTTTAAAGGCAGATTCCAGCATAGGAAGATTTGTCTTCACTTGTCATGACTTTTTTTTCTTTGTTCTGTTCTTCCCTTTTTGGGAAAACATCTTTCTACTTCCTTTCTTCTCTCTGCTCCTACTTCATCCCTGTGAAAGAAATCAGTCTGACATGAACCCTTATCATATATTTAACAAATTACAAATATCAGCTTATTGATACAGAAGAAATATGTAAGTCATGAATATTTATGAAATGATTGTCAGTAGAATAAAGGAGAACTAAAGGGTATTCTTTTGGATTTTTTTTCTGTATTTACTTAGCAGTGTTAGAGGCAAAATGGCTTCTTTGTGCCCAGTGACATAGCTTTATGTAATCCAGTAAGAGTCTTGCAATGAAATACTTTGTTGTCCTAATACACAACATAAACTGTGGGAGAAAAAAAAAACATGAAACACCAGTTTTGCCTTCTGATTTGCCTCTTAAATGTTTTTTCATATTGGTCTCCCTCAGCAAATCCTTAAGTAATGCTTCCTTTTTTCCACCCATTTCTATGCTTGAGAGACCAGATTATCACAATAAAAGTTTTTATTTCATCTCATTATTTCTCTCTACTTCTTAAAAGACGCTTTTGAGAAAGCAAAGCAATCCTTAATTGGACTTCCTAAAGTTTTCTGAAGAGTTGATTTCCACTAATAGCCAATAATAGCTCAAGAAGGCTGGCCTCAGTTCAGTTAACTCTTACAAATAAAAAATTTTATAAAGTGGGAAAAATACAGCCTAGTGCAGGAACTTCACCATCTCTTATGTATCTATGTAATATCTTAGCAGACTGAACGGCCTCATAGTGAAGTTATACTTAGATCAGCAATCTTAGCCTGTAGAATGTTTTCTCTTGTTACAAATACTTTTTAAAGATATTATTGGTAATACCTGTCACATGCTGGTACTAGTGCTGTGTGTGAAGATGCAAAGAAAGGGTAACAACTTTAAAGGAGAATTTGGAAAGTAGCTAGTGGTACGTTATTGTACGATATTAATGTGAAGGTGTTAAACATGCCATGGTAAAACTCGTTCAGCTGACTTGAGTCATTTGAAGATGAACACTTTTTCCCTAAGTGGCTACTACTTAAATAAGGAATTCAAAAATTTCAGGCTTCAGCCTAGTCTGACAGTTTTTTCCTCCACAAAAGTAGAGGAAAAAAATCTCATGTACTTTTCACTAATCCAGTAGCATTGCAGGAACTGCAACCTTGCTTTCTTGAATTTTGCAATAGGAAAGATTATTTTCTTGTTGCTTAACTTCTTCATTGCTGAATAATTTTAAGTATGCTTGACATGAATTGAGAATAATAAAAGCAATGTTGGTGTAGTAGGCTTTCAATTCCCAGATACTTTAATGGTCTAGAATTTTTTTGAGGCCTTGCTTTTTACGTGTAAATTATTCTCTTCTGATAATTCAAATAATTAAGGAGTTGAGGGAGGGAGTGGGGAGTGTCAAAAACTACTTCATATATAAAGGTTGGAGCGGTTAGATGATTAAAGTGTAGTGATAGAAGTCAGGAAACGTTGCCTGCAAGTCACTCTACTGTAAATCTGTGGTGTGTTCTTTGGAATCATAGAATCAGAGAATAGTTTGGGTTGGAAGGGACCTTTAAAGGTCCCCTAGTCCAACCCCCCCGCAGTGGGCAGGGACATCTTCAACTAGATCAGGTTGCTCAGAGCCCCGTCCAACCTGACCTTGAATGTTTCCAGGGATGGGGCATCTACCATCTCTCTGGGCAACCTGTTCCAGTGTTTCACCACCGTCATTGTAAAAAATTTCTTCCTTATATCTAGTCTGAATCTACCCTTTTTTAGTTTAAAACCATTCCCCTTGTCCTATCGCAACAGGCCCTGCTAAAAAGGCTGTCCCCATCTTTCTATAAGCCCCCTTTAACTATTGAAAGGCCGCAATAAGGTCTCCCCGAAGCCTTCTCTTCTCCAGGCTAAACAACCCCAACTCTCTCAGCCTTTCCTCATAGGAGAAGTGTTCCACTCCTCTGATCATTTCTGTGGCCCTCCTCTGGACCCAGTCCAACAGGTCCATATCTGTCTTGTACTGAGGACTCCGGAGCTGGATGCAGTACTCTAGGTGGGATCTCACCAGAGCGGAGTAGAGGGGCAGAATCACCTCCCTCGACCTGCTGGCCACGCTTCTTTTGATGCAGCCCAGGATATGATTGGCTTTCCAGGCTGCGAGCGCACATTGCTGGCTCATGTCCAGCTTCTCATCCACCAGTAACCCCAAGTCCTTCTCGGCAGGACTGTTCTCAATCCCTTCATCCCCCAGCCTGGATTGATACTGGGGGTTGCCCCGACCCAGGTGCAGGACCTTGCACTTGGCCTTGTTGAACCTCATGAAGTTGACACAGGCCCACTTCTCGAGCTTTTCCAGGTCCCTCCGGATGGCATCCTGTCCCTCAGGCGTGTCAACCACACCACTCAGCTTGGTGTCATCTGCAAACTTGTTGAGGGGGCACTCGATCCCACTGTCTATGTCATTGATGAAGATATTAAACAGTACTGGTTTGAACAGACTCCTGAGGGACACCACTCGTCACCAGTCTCCATCTGGACATTGAGCCGTTGACCACTACCCTCTGGATGTGACCATCTAACCAATTCCTCACCCACCAGACAGTCCACCCATCAAATCCATACCTCTCCAGTTTAGAGAGAAGGCTGTTGTGGTGGACCGTGTCAAAGGCCTTACAGAGGTCCAGATAGACGACATCTGTAGTTCTTCCCTTGTTCGCTGATGTGCTCACTCCATCATAGAATTGTAAAAAGCAATTTGATAACCTTACACAGAAGGCATTAAAGAGTTTCAGGCTTTCTTGGCTATCTTTACTGACATCGTCTCCAAGGTATTTTCATCTTCTTTCGTTCATGATCGCTTGTTCTCTGCTGTTACAGTCACTAGATTTCCCCGACCTGTATCACCTCTTCAGGATGTGGCCATCATCGTTGGAAGCCGCGAACAATTAGCAGTGTTGTTGCAACTGTATGACTATCAGCTAGAACATGAGGGTACCACAGGCTGGGAGACTTTGCTATGGGTAGTCAATCAACTGTGAGTTAATTTGTATCTTATGATTCCTAATTTTAAAATGTGTCAAAATTACTAGTTTTTAAGCATGATTCTATTTAACAATTACTAAACATAAGAATTTTAAGTATGATTGTGTTCAACAATTATTAAAGAGAAAAAGTTTGAAATTTTTTTAGGCATTTTAATTTTCATACTCAATTGGCTTTGATTTTATTCAGAAAATATCAACTATCTAGCAGAATGTGTAGGTAACTACTTGCTCCAAAAAATGGTTTCTTTCATCTTTGTACTAAGATAGTCAATTCTCTGTTGATGTGAAGATTGTTGTATTCTGAATATCTCATGAAATACATTGTTCTGAAGTAACAGATGTTTGAAAATATAGGTCAGGCTTTTCTGGCACTTAAACTTTTCCTTTCTTCAAGGGTCAGGAATTGTACAGAACATGTAGATAACTTTATTAGAACCAGTGGGGGGGGGGTGTATGTGTATATTTATTAATATAAACTGTAAATCTATACAGATATAACTGGAGAGAAACAAAAAATCAGAGTAGTGTTTAATATCCTTTTATTTCCTGATTTTTAGGCTACCGCAGCTTATAGAAATAGTTGGCAAGATCAATGTAGCATCAACTGCCTGTGTCCATGAGTTCTCTAGATTTTTCTGGAGACTTTGCAGGACATTTGGGAAAATTTTTACAAACGCTAAGGTAAGATATTACCTTAAATACTCTACAAAAAGAGTACCTTGATAATATATCTTCTCCATATTAACGGTGTGTCTGAATACCTGCGCTTTATGTGACCATTTATATTTGCATGCCACACTGATGCTTTTCCATAAGTACATTTAAACCTGCTATTTTGAAACCTCTGTTTGCATCCTTTTGATTTCTGTTTTTGACCATTTTGGAATGGCCTTCTCACCTTGCCCAACAAGGAAGGATTTTTTTTTTTTTAAACTGTATTCTTCATATTTGCTCTGTGAATGGCACAGAGAATGGGAGAGATCATCCTAATTCTAGTGATTTAGCAATTTTCTCTCTTTAGAACAGCATACTGTTCAGTGTTTGTGGAGTACATAAGTACTCCAGGCTGTTCTTGTTTGGAAATTTAACATTAATGCTTTTCCTGCCCGAAATATTTTCTGTAGATGATAACTAAACAGTTTTATTAAGGAAATACCTCATTTTTCTCAATAAAATAACTTCCGAATATAATTTAAAAATATTTTAAAGGGAAATTATAAAACACGAGAGGATTACCTAAAGATAAAATTACAAAACAGGATTAGCATTATGTGCTGCCTCCAGAGAGGAGATTAAAACCAGTCTCTGGTCTTTGAAAGCCCCTTCTGTAAGTTGTCTTTAGAACCCTTGCTTCTATTAAATTGTTCTGATACTATCACAGCTATATTTTGGAAGAGAGCACTTCATGGACAGCAAAGTCCGAACAAACATTTTGGTTTTTTACATATAGCTTGGTAAGACCGTAAACCCTAAAGCCCAGCCAAGCATATTGCTAAGAGACTTCAACTTTTGGTATCAGGAGTGCTAAATACTGCTACTTCAGTGTGGGTACTCAATAGAAATTTTTACTCTCATGTCATACTTTCAATTTTCGTAAAAGCTGGCTATGCTTTTTAAAGGTTTTTTTTCTTTCTGTACCTTCAAAATGTCCCTTTTCTGTTGGTTTTTTTATTGTTAATTTTTTCCTAAGTTAACTGACACTGGTAGCAGATTTTCTCACATGGGATTCATCATCCTTTGTATAGGTAAAACCACAGTTCCAGGAAATCTTAAGACTGTCTGAGGAAAACATAGGTAAGTAGCTTTTTACTCAAATGAATAAAAATTGATCTTAAATGCAACTGGGAAAAAAATGTCAATCTCTTGTTCAAATAACATTTTCAGACTGCAGTTCTCAAATTTGTCATCTTTCTGAAATGTTGAAAATCTCATCTTAATCTGAATGGAAATCTCTGCAGTTGTAGATTATGTGTGTGTAAAGTACAAATAAAACCTCAAATCCAGATACCACTTGAGTATTATTTTAGCACGTGTGTGCATGTATATATGCATATATATGTATATAAATTCTTCATTTATATATAAAAAGATGAATACATATATTTATATTACACACATATAAGTGTACCTTTTTAATATATATAAAGATATATAGTGTATAAACATATATTGCACACACTCATATATACACATATATGTGTATATAAAACCTAAATTCTTCACTGTGTTTCATTAGATTCCACAGCAGGTAACGGAGTGCTAACAAAAGCCACAGTTCCCATCTATGCAACAGGGGTCCTTACATGTTATATTCAGGTAGGTTTGTTTTTCTGGTTTTTTGTTAAATGTATAATAATATGTAAAATTTACTCTACCATATACCCCCACTGTTTTCTTTGAAAACTTACAGTGCTCTTGTGCTTTGAACATAGGTAGATAAGCGGGCAGCTGTAAACACATTTAAAAGCAAAGTTTTCTGGTCAGGTTGTCTACTACATTTAGGTGATAGTCATCAGTGTTAAAACCTGGATTCAGTAAATCTTAAAATGACATCTGGCATTTTCACTGCTGCTAACTCTCAGACATTGACAACTGCCATGTGCCTCTATCAAAAATATTAATGCTATTCTATAAATGGGTTCTTGGCCATTTAATTGGGTCCCCTGCAAACAAAATTTTGCAAAATTTACTGAAACAGATAAGGAGGTAAATCGCCATTTTGGACATAGTTGCAGTCTTAAAATTTCGGTGTTACCTAGTACTAAAATAAATATTCCATAAATAATACTACCTAATCCTCCAGTAACCAGCAGTTATAGACTGGCATATATGTAGCTTACAGGAAAAAATAAATACTTCATCTCACAAATGTTTAGTGGACTGTGAGCAATCACAAACTGTCAGGAGCCATGAAAGTGCTGAAGTACTCTTCTTAAAAGTTTCTTTAGTAAAACAATTTGGGTAATTTATGCACGATTATGTGCTTAGTTGATGAAGTACAGGAATACAGTCTCTTCTTGTGTTTGCTTTGAAAGGTTCTTGTTCTTAAACCACATTTTTGAAGTTCATAAGAAGCTTGTTGTCGTGGTTTAACCTCAGCCGGCAACGGAACACCACACAGCTGCTCACTCACTCCCCCCGGCCCCGGTGGGATGGGGGAGAGAACCGGAAGAGTAAAAGTGAGAAAACTCATGGGTTGAGATAAGAACAGTTTAATAATTGAAATAAAATAAAATAGTAATAATAATAATAAAAGAATATACAAAATAAGCGATGCACAATGCAATTGCTGACCACCCGCCGACCGATGCCCAGCCAGTCCTCGAGCAGCGGCCCCCCTGGCCAGCTTTCCCCCAGTTAATGTACTGAGCATGACGTCACGTGGTATGGAATGTCCCTTTGGCCAGTTTGGGTCAGCTGTCCTGGCTGTGCCCCCTCCCAGCTCCTTGTGCACCTCCAGCCTTCTCAGTCGGTAGAGCATGGGGAGCTGAAAAGTCCTTGACTAGTGTAAGCACTACTTAGCAACCACTAACACATCGGTGTGTTACCAACATTATTCTCATCCTAAATCCAAAACACAGCACTGTACCAGCTACTAGGATGAAAATTAACTCTACCCCAGCCAAAACAGGACAGTTGTTAAAGGCTAAATCTAGTTTGTTCTTGTTCATAGTTTGTCTCTTTTGTAGCTGTAGGTCATCACAACTGCAGCAATACTTCTACTACATTCAACATTTTATGCTCTTCTTTCAGGAAGAAGACCGCAAGCTGTTAGTTGGATTCTTAGAAGATGTAATGACCATGCTTTCACTATCCCATGCTCCTCTTGATAGCCTGAAAGCTTCCTTTGTGGAACTGGGGTAAAGAATATACCTTGGAGTTGACTAGGTCTAAATACATTAGAAGTTTTTATTAAAAGCTGCTAATCTGGCTGTAATTTTAATAACCATGATGCTTCGGGTGAATAAAGGGTATACTTGCTTTTTTTTTTCCTTGGTGTTTCACAAAATCTAAACTTTTAATCTCTAGATTAAAAATGTGGTGGTAAAAAAATTCTGAAGTTTAAAAAAGAAACACCAAAACCAAACAAAAAAACAAAAAAATCAGTCATTGAGGAGAAAATGGAAATTAATTTTGTATTTTCCATACTGTTGTGATGTGTTCTAGATATGTATTTGCATTCAGTTCAGTGTCATAATTTATTGAAAATTACATTCTTACAGTGGGTTGTTTTTTGGTTTTGTTTTTGTTTTCAAAAATGAACTTCAAAATGCAACATACTTTCTAGACAGCAACATGTTGCATGTCCTTCAGAATGAGAGAAATTATATGTATCCTTCAAAAAGGATAAATGTTGGATTTTTGGATTTGTTGAGCAATGGATTCTTGAGACCTCATTTGGTAGGCAAAGAACATATTTGGGGTTTGGGAGGTTTTTTTTTTTGATTGCCCCACTGTTTTCTTGTAGTGCAAACCCAGCTTATCATGAGCTGCTATTAACTGTCTTATGGTATGGAGTTGTCCATACTTCCGCTCTTGTTCGATGTACAGCTGCTAGAATGTTTGAGGTAAGTGTTATCCAAACTTTTTTACACCTTTTTAAAAGTAGAGTTTATTTTTAAAAACAGTCATTTAGATAATGTTGCTACATTCTTAAAAATTACATATGGCTTAAATAAGTTGTGTACTGTGTGATGGAAGTTGTTGTGCAGTTGTTTCTGTATCTGTTCTCTGTTGAACAGCACATCTTTCATTAAGCAATTTGTCATTAGCCAGTTGCAAGATGTTTCTGCAGTAACTGTGTGTGTGTTCTTTGATCTGCTGCTGACTTGGTTGTTGCATTCTGATTATTGCATGCTGAAAAACATTTTCCGATTATGAAAACACATTTCATTGCTAAACTATGTTCAAAACAGAATTAAATACATTGTCAAAAGTGTTTTCTTAGGTCTGTAAATGTAAACAAGCATCTCTGAGTTTTATCATTTGCTTTTGCTGTTCAACACATCATGAGTAGCCTAATTCACAAGTTTCAGCACTTTTTGTGTATACTTGTATAATGCACCTGCATTGTAATTCAAACTAGTTTCCATTGGTGCCAAATGTGGTGGTAAAAAACATACATTTAACCAATTTTGTATTTTTTGTAAAAATTAAAATAATTTACAATTACTTTACTTGCTACATAGTGACAGCTTTATCTTTCCCTTAACATCTACAAATTTGTTCAGGATAAAGACTGTTACATTTAACTAATAAGTTTGCTTTTATTTCCACATCATGCCTTTGTTTCATCAAGTTTTATTAAAAAAGGCTTATACAAAAACTCTGGGACATATTCTGCTTGCTGAACAAAGAGATTATCTTTTTTTCTTTTTTGCATGTTAAAGACGTATTTCTAATCACACTATTACAGTCCATTTCTTTTTTTGTTTTTGCATGTCTTCCGCATTTGTCTCATTTGGATAGCTTTGCAGTGGACCTCTAGCTGAACCTGCCACCTTGTATCCATTTGCAAAAACAAATCTCAAGTCTGCCTCAAAATAGAGCACTTAATGTAACCATTAGTGTTCTTTATTGCAACTCTGCAAATCATTGCAGATAAACACTAAACAACCACTTTAAGACATACCCTGAGA